GTGGGGGATGGAAGACACTGAGAGAACTAATGAGCCAGCACAAGTCTGGCGCAGGACAAGGAGGTTCAGGGAAGTCAAGATCAAAGGGGCCCTCGATTATCCCAGTGGATAATCCAGGGAGACAGCCACACTACAGCAGGCATTAGCACTGGATGCTACATGACTCAGAAGGATGCAGAATATTCCTGAAAAAAAAAAAAACCCTAAGTTCCTTCTGTCCCACCTCTGCTGCCATCAGACATGGGCCCTCCCCTGCACACAGACATCAATGTGGGGAAAAGGATACGGGAAAACCCCTGGATGCAATCCTGAGAGAGGGGGTCTGAACGCTGCAGGGGATGACTACCCAAGAGAGCCTAAGATGAGGAACTCGGTTGCCTTCGTGGTAAGTTTAAGTTTTCCATCATCAACAAGACTGGAGATACCAGAGCAAGACGACCTAAGTTTTAGGTGATACCAAATGTTACATATGGTAACACTTACAAATGTTTCAATTTCAATCCTGTTATACTGGCTTGTAGAAGAAATGATTAAGCTTCCCTCTAAGACAAAACTACCGCCACATCCCAAAGTGAAACCAGGATCCTCAAGGTTCTTGCAAAGCATATTGAGAATGGAGCCGGACTCATGGGGAGGACAGAACCTGCATTTCCTTCTTGCCAGTTCGGTGGCCCCTCCTCCTTTCTTCACTAATGTAATTATTCAAAGCAGACTTGAATACAGATAATGGAAGGCATGATTTGGTTGACAACCAAATGTTCTAATGACATTAAAACATCCAAGTTTAATTTCAGCCATGACCAAATCTACCGACTGGACTCTCCTCTCATAATAAAAATAGATTAGATAACCAGCTAGGTTGAAAGAGCCACACGGGTTTGCCTATTGGCCGCGGGAGCAAGCAGGAGAGCTCCTCACTGACTGCTGTGCTGATTGACAGGGGCCTCGGAAACAATAGAAGAATATGACAAACAGCTCCCTTTTTTGAATCAAACTCAAAACTCCAGAAAGGCTTTCATGCAGCCATGGATGGCTGGTGTCTTCTTTGATGTGATAAAATTTCAGTCATTTTCAGCTGGAGTTGTAATTGCTGTGTATGGGGAGGGGTTAGGGGCTGACTCTCCAGTATTATTTTATTATTCCTTCAATTCAGTAATAATATAATAACTTCGAGACTTAACAGCTCAGATAAAGAATAGTGGCCTATTGAGAAACTTTATTATTTTGCTTTTGACAGGACGCTCTTTCAGACATTCTTCTGGGGGTTAAAAAAAAACCCTATTTGGATTATTTGCATAAGAATATATTTTATTGTAATGTGTCTAGCATTTTCATAGCGGAAAATCCAGGAAAATGAACAGCATATTATCATTACAAACAATGATATTTAGAATTAGAACAGAAAGTCCTTGGTCATTTTTCAACCTGCCAACCAAATCAATGCTGAGAGAAAACTGTGTGTGTGTGTGTGTGTGTGTGTGTGTGTGCGCGCGTGCGCGCGTATGTGTATGTACTTGTGCACAAGCCTGTGGGCTGATGAGAGTGTCTTACAGAGATATGGATTTATAATTTGCTACCAGCAAGGGAAGCACTTTAAATGGCACTAAGTTAGCTAGGGAGCAGTGGCAGGAGGCAAGGGTCATAAACTCTAGAGCAAATGTATGGCGTGTTTCACTTTTGCGTACATTTTTCAATCTTAAAACAGATTTACTCAGGATTTAAGACTTTATTAAGGTCAAAAGGATTACATTAAGTTCATAGACACGTTTGTTTTATTAATTGAGTCATAAGTTCTGGCCGTCTGCAAACACATTTGAAAACAGGCATCAGATGGTTTCCATTGCCATAATAGATCAGAAAATCTGCCAGTAAGTCTGTTTGCAGCTCTTAAAAGCTGTTGAACAAAAATGTGTTTTGAACTATCGACAATTACCTGAGAAAACAACTGGATTCTGTAAGTCGGTTTGTTTATATTCCCAATACACTCGCTCTTACCCCACTTCCTACACTCTTGGCCGGAGCCGTCCACTCCAGGGCATTAGAGGTGATCTTGCTTGAAAACGTTTCCCTCTTCACCCTCATTAAGATGGTATATCAAGAGGAGTGTTAACAAGTTTTTCTACTGACTTACTATTGATGGAGAGGAGAAAACAGTGAATCCAGAAAAGGAAAAACAAGTTGGGTTTTTACTAAATCACAACGATAGAGTGTGTAAAAATAATATATACAGTATCCTAGATTTAAAAAATATTACCGTTTACACTGGAAAGCCCATTAGTGCCTTCCTGAATCTATGGCCTTGTCTCTGCACCCAGGGGTAAGAAGACTGACCTGATTCTTGTGCTTATCTCCTACTGGCTTTTCTTTATAGTATTCACTATATGCGTTTGTATCCCTTAACAACATATTGTTGAGTTTTCCATGGCTTGAACTCTATAAAATGAAATAATTTAATGTGCTCTCCTGCAACCCTTTCTTCTTAATATCATGTTCCCATTCTGTCCACGATGTGGCATGTAATGAGTTAGCCGCTGCTTTTTCCTCAGCTTTACTGAGATATCACTGACACAGAATATTGTGCGAACTTAAGGTATACAATGTGATGGCTTGATACACATACATATTGCAATGTTTCCCAAAAGATTAGTTAACACAGCCTTGACCACACATAATTACCACTTTGTTGTTGTTACAGTGAGAATTTTAGGCATTACTCTCCTAGAGACTTTCACGGCTGCAATACGGTATTGTTAACTACCATCCCCATGTTGTGTATTTCATCCCCATCATCCCCATTTCATCTTATAACTGAGTTTGTACCTCTTGAGCAAGCTTTCCCCACTTCCCCAGCCCTCAGCCCCTTACAACCACCACTCTCTCCCCACTTTCTATGAGTTCTATGTGTTCGGATCCCACACGTAGCAAGATCATACAGCATTTCTCTTTCTCTGTCTCACTTATTTCACCCAGTATAATGCCCTCCAGGTCCATCCATGTTGTCACAAGTGAGAGGATCTCCTTTTTTATGGTTGAATAATATTCCATTCTATACAAACACACACACACACACACACACAAACACACACACACCATATTTTCTTTACTCATTCATTTATCTACGTATACTTAGGCTGTTTCCATATTTTGGCTATTGTGAATAATGCTGCAATGACCATGAGAGTATAGGTATCTCTCTGAGATCCAGAGTTCATTTTCTTTGTATAAGTACCCAGAAATGGGATTGCTGGATCATGTCAGAGTTCTATTTTTAATTTTTTTGAGAAACCTCCATACTGGTTTTTATAGCTATTGTACCATTTTACAATATATAAAAGATCTAAATGAGGAAAAATGCATAGAGGGTCAAATGTGGGGTAAACTGGATATTTCGAGATCTTAAAGTACTCCATTAGAGATAAGTTAAGGTTACTTTTTGCTGTCATTAAAACAACCAGTCAGAGGCACCTGGGTGGCTCAGTGGGTTAAGTGTCTGGATATTTCAAGATCTTAAAGTACTCCAGTACTTTAAGTAAACTGGATATTTCAAGATCTTAAAGTACTCCATTAGAGATAAGTTAAGGTTACTTTTTGCTGTCATTAAAACAACCAGTCAGAGGCACCTGGGTGGCTCAGTGGGTTAAGTGTCTGCCTTTGGCTCAGGTCATGATCCCAGGGTGCTGGGATCCAGCCCCGCCTCGGGCTCCCTGCTTGGTGGGCAGCCTGCTTCTCCCACTCCCTCTGCCTGCCGCTCCCCCTACTTGTGCTTGCTCTCTCAAATACATGAATATAATCTTTTAAAAAATCAATCAATCAGGGCACCTGGGAGGCTCAGTGGGTTAAGCCTCTGCCTTCATCTCAGGTCATGATCTCAGGGTCCTGGGATGGAGCCCTGCTTTGGGCTCTCTGCTTAGCAGGGAACCTGCTTCCCCCTCTCTCTGCCTACTTGTGATCTCTCTCTGTCAAATAAATAAATAAAATCTTTTTTTAAAAAAATCAGTCAAACAACCAGTTAAACAGTTTAAAAGAAACCAATGTGTCCTCTTTACGATTTACCACTGTGCCATTATGAAGTCACGGCCTCCATCAGTAAACATGTTTTAAAGTTTCATCTCCACAACGTCACTAGTATTTGGCTAAGACATTCCTAGCTGTCCTTTAATCTTCTGACCTATGCTTGGTTTTCACAGTGATACTCACTATGGCAGCTGTTTTTTTTTCCTAATTCCTCTGAATGCTTACTGTGTGCCCAACATTGTACTAAAGGATTTTAACTGTATCCTCATGCTATCCCTTAAAGCAAATACTGTTACTACTTTCATTTTTTCAAATAAGGAAACAGGCTGAGAATGCCTCGGGACTGTATTTCATTTATCTTAAGAACACACTTCACATTCCTGAAATCAGGATGCACCTTGTAATCAGTGGTGTCTTACAATCACTGTTTCCCAGACAATAGCCTGGTGTGGTAGCTATTACCCGTGCGTGTGTATACTTGGTCATACTTGTTGATATGACTGTCAATTCACTTGAATTTATGGATAATGTTAGTACTTAACATGGTGAGTTTTATTGACATTTTTAATGTTTTCAAGCCTGTTGGTTCTGAATTGACATTGCCAAGAAAAGGTACTGTGTAGGCTGAAAGCGCTGGAAACAGGACATCAGGAAGGCAACTGGATATTAGTAAAACAAATAGATGTATCACCAGAGGAATATATACAATTCCTGATTCTCTTGCAAAGTGACAATTAAGTGATTTATAGGACCTATGGAAGAAAGATGCCCACGAAAAGAAAATTTTGTTATATTTTGTTACCACTATATCCAAAAGGATTGCCAAACTAAGCAACGGAAGGCAAGAGAAACTGTCAGATCCCTCCACCCAAAAATGCAAGAAACCTCAAGGCATACAGTAACAGCCAATGCACACTGCACAGCACTACTGCTATGGGATTATGTCACTGTTTAATTAGAACTTTCCTTTTTATTGGTTGGGTTCCCTGAGCAACGCCATGGCGGTCGGCAAGAACAAGTGCCTTACGAAAGGTGGCAAAAAGGGAGCCAAGAAGAAAGTGGTTGATCCACTTTCTAAGAAAGATTGGTGAAAGCACCAGCTATGTTCAATATAAGAAATATTGGAAAAACATTAGTCACAAGATCTCAAGGAGCCAAGATCGCATCTGATGGCCTCAAGGGTTGCATTTTTGAAATGAGCCTTGCTGATCTGCAGAATGATGAAGTTGCATTTAGAAAATTCAAGCTAATTACTGAGGATGTTCAGGGCAAAAACTGCCTAATTTCCATGGCATGCATCTTGCCCGTGACAAAATGTGCAACATGGTCAAAAAATGGCAGACCATGACTGAAGCTCACGTTGATGTCAAGACTACCGATGGTTATTTGCTTCATCTGTTTTATATTGGTTATACTAAAAAAAGCGATAATCAGATTTGGAAGACCTCTTATGCTCAGGACCAACAGGTCCTCCAAATTCAGAAAAAGATGATGGAGATCATGACCCGAGAGGTTCAGACAAATGACTTGAAAGAAGTGGTCAATAAATTGATTCCAGACAGCAATGGAAAATATATAGAGAAAGCTTGTCAGTCCATTTATCCACTCCATGATGTCTTCGTTAGAAAAGTAAAAATGCTGGGGGTGCCTGGGTGGCTCAGTGGGTTAAGCCTCTGCCTTCAGCTCAGGTCATGTTCTCAGGGTCCTGGGATCGAGCCCCACATCGGGCTCTCTGCTCAGCAGGGAGCCTACTTCCCCCCTCTCTGCCTGCCTCTCTGCCTACTTGTGATTTCTGTCTGTCAAATAAATAAATAAAATATTAAAAAAAAAAAAGTAAAAATGCTGAAGAAGCCCAAGTTTGAATTGGGAAAGTTCAAGGAGCTTCATGGTGAAGGTAGTAGTTCTAGAAAAGCTACTGGGGATGAGACAGGGCTAAAGTTGAACGAACTGATGGATATAAGCCACCAGTCCAAGAATCTGCTTAAAATTGAGACATTTAATGGTGACAAATAAAAAATCTTATTTGTGATGTTTAAAAAAAAAAGAAAAATTTCTTTTTTATTGGTATGTAAAATAATGATGTGTCACAGAATTGATGACATCTTAGACTTAATGGCATCAGGTACCTTGCCCAGGGTCACACCACTAGTAAGTATAAGGGTAGAGGCTTACATAGCAGGCTTGTGCTCTTAACCAGGAGACTTTAGTGGACCTCGTTTGATTTTTTTTTTAGCTTCTCTTCTACCTTTTAACAAGCCCATAAGCATTTCTTTTAAAATAAATATTACTTTTTTTTTTTTTGTAAGTTCATGACCATCTTGGGGATAATTGTAGACTCCTTGGGAACAGGATTCAAAATAGAGCCAAGAATTACTCAAATTAAAGGAAAACATCAAATAATCAGAAAAGCAGCTCACTGTGGTTCTCAAATGGGGGAAAACAGATTCCCTCTGTATAAGGTCCCCCTCAAAACAACAGTGAATGGGCAGTGTCTTCTATCATTTGAGAACACAGAATGGGAGTATAAATCACAGAATCAGTGGTATCGGGGTCTTGGCTCTGTACTGTCACATTTCATAGCCCTTCCATAACTCCTTCCATGCTTTTGGAATCTACAGCTTTAAGGAGCTTAAGAAAAATAAAACTAAAAACTAATCTAAAATAAAAAATTGATCATGATTACCTCAGGGTGTTGGTCATAGCTCTAATGGTAATAAATGATCAAACAGTGTGTTATTATTTATTATTGACTCTCAATTTTCTCTCATTCGGTCGTTACGGACACACATAAGTGCTTTGGGGGTCTTCATGCCATCATCTGGGTTCAGGTTTCAACTCTACTACTTAGCAGCTGGTTGACTTTGGGCAAATAATTCCATTTTCATAAGCCTCATTTTTCTCAGGTGTAGAATCAGGGTCTTATAATACATGCCTCGAGGGCTGTTATGAGCATGAGATAAGGTTATGAAATGAGATAATGCCTACACAGTAATTCAGCACAGTGCCTGTTATTTAAAGGCTGACTGAACATAAGATACCAGTATTACTAGCAACACAACCCTGTGTGTAACTAAACAATTTTACCAATGACGAAACTAAGGTTCAGAGAAGTTAAATCAATACCCAAGGTCACACAGCTATTAAGCAGCAGAACTGGTACACAAGCCCAGAAGTGCACTTGCCTTAAGTGCTGGCAAAGCTCGTCAGAGAAAATCTCTCAAAGTCTGTGCCAACTCAGCAATGACCATTCTTTTATGATCTCCATGTAACTTGACACATTGCTACAAGAGCTATACAGCTTCAACGCTATTTTCCCTTCTTTCATAAAGGCTACCGATGGATGGAGATGGAAATAAAAATTGAGTTGACTTTACAGACCAATCATAGGACATGGTTGTCAAAATGTCACAGGCCAATTTTCGCTATAACCGAAATCTCTTCATTACAAAAAAAGGACCGAATCCTAGCTACGTTTTCACAAATACGAGAGATATTTGACACATTTTTTTTTTTGAACAACAAAGAATATGGACAGGGTGTAGGGAGCTTAATGTAAAGGCTTTGACCTGTACTAAAACCCACTTGAATTTCCTATTACTCTAACTCGTGGTGATTATTTGAATTTGCGTGCAAGCTCTTAATCTGCATAATTAGTTCCAGTACCTCACAGAAGCAGATTGAGACCTAATCAAGGAGGTCAAGAGTTGGACAAGAGGGAGCGCCAGAGGAGAGGATGCTGTGTTAACCCCTGCTCTTAGGTGCATCTTTGTGTTCAGGAGCCACTGAGCTGGGAACAAAGAGATGGCCTAGGCATGCAGAGAGGAGATGGAGAGAAAGACCTCTGGGGAGACAGCCCAGTAGATTTCGGGAGCCGTGATCCCTGCCGCAGAGGTTGGGGAAGCAGAAAGTGACTGGAACTCCAGATCAGCAGACCCAAACCAGTTCCCTCGAAAGAAAAAGTATGAGTGCATAGAGCTGATCACACCAGAGGGGAGAAGACCACAGCAGTGGCACCAAAACACCCTCCAGCACAGACTACTGAACCAACCACACCTGTTGGCTGCGTAAAACTCTCAAAGGGAGAAGCACAGCCCACAGAGAGTTAGGCAGTCCTCCCTCGTCCTCCCTAGCTCGTCCCCTAGCTGAGCACTCAGGTCAAGGCAAAGCAGTCAGCTGAAGAACTGGGACCACCTTTGAACTGTGTGCTTGATGTATAACACTCACCAATGGAGAGGCCCTGTCCTACGACAGTGGCCATGATCCTCTCCGCAGAACGGGGTCCTGGGAGAGCCGGGAAGACCATGCGCCTGGGCGACAGGACCCATGGAGCAAGCTCCCCAGCACGGCAAATGTGCTAGAGGAGACCGACCAGCAGTTGCGGAGCTGCAAAACACCTATGGCTTCTGTCAAGGGAATGCTCTTCCAAAGAGATCAGGGAGCACATTCCTTGCGGGGCTCTGCATAACGGAGGAGGTCTCTGGGTGCAGTCTTGGGCTAAGACGCCTCAAAGGCTGGTAGTGACCACTACAGAAGACCATCTCCAGCCCAGAAAGTTCTCACGGACAAGAGGGGATTAGTTGCCAACCAAGACAAATTCGTGGGCCACCTCATTTTTCTAAGTAAGTTTGGTGCCCTAAAAGACAAGAGCATAAGTGTATTATACAAAGCAATTCTGCTTGTTAAACCACATTTATTCTAATGAAAAACTTATAGAAAATTTTCATCATAAGATATAAAATGACTTTATACATGCTGTACAGCAGCTTATAGCCCTCTCATTTTTTAAAAAGATTTTATTTATTTATTTGAGAGAGAAAGAGAAAGAGAGGGAGAGAGAGAATGAGCACAGGAGGGACAGAGGGAGAGGGCACAGCGGTCTTCCTGCTGAGCAATGGCCCAATGTGGGGCTGGAGCCCAATGTGGGGCTCGATCCCAGGACCCTGGGATCATGACCTGAGCCGAAGCAGCCACTTAACCCACTGAGCCACCCAGATGACCCTAGCTCTCTCATTTTTTTTTAAGATTTTATTTATTTATTTGACAGACAGAGATCACAAGTAGGCAGAGAGGCAGGCAGAGAGAGAGAGGAGGAAGCAGGCTCCCTGCAGAGCAGAGAGCCCGATGCGGGGCTTGATCCCAGGACCCTGGGATCATGACCTGAGCCGAAGGCAGAGGCTTTAACCCACTGAGCCACCCAGGCATCCCTAGCCCTCTCATTTTTAAAGTGACAAATGTACCAAGTGCATCAGAAATGAATTCACTAAATGTCAGCTTTCTGGAAATTCAAAACTTAATGAATTGATTCCTTTCCACTAACAAGTTGACGAATCAGCACTGGGTAAAACTCCAACATAGAGCCCAGTTAGCATCACTGTACGCGCTGTTACACTGATTTATAATCCACAACCTGTCACTTCTAGGGAGAAAAGAGGCATCCAACACACAGATACCTAGATCTACATACACATGCAGGCACATACTCTTTTTTTTTTTAAGATTTTATTTATTTATTTGACAGACAGAGGTCACAAGTGGGCAGAGAGGCAGGCAGAGAGGCAGAGGGAGAAGCAGACTCCTCGCTGAGCAGAGAATCTGATGTGGGGCTCGATCCCAGGACCCTGAGATTATGACCTGAGCTGAAGGCAGAGGCTTTAACCCACTGAGCCACCCAGGCGCCCCATAGGCACATACCCTTACACTCACACTTACACTCTCACACACATTTCCACAAGAATGCCCACTCACCCACCACCTACACAGAGGCTCATACGCACACACACACATATATTCATTCACACCCACATGCACACTCACACACATAATGCACATGCAACAATATACTTACAGACTCATAACACACACTCACAAATCCACATACATACACACCTAACAAATGGTATACATGAATAAGCCACTTTTATTGAATCCATACGACACTGTGAGTTAAGTATTAACTAACTCTGTATAGCTCATCTCCTGGAGTTAATTGAAGCTCATGAAAATAAAAAGACCCTGTCCAAACTCATGCAGTTAGTAAATGGAAGGGTATATCTGATTCTGAAGTGGAGAATTAGACGCAAACCAACTCACTGTATCTGTGACCTCTTAAGGATTTCACTAATTATACCATCATTTTAGTTAAGAAAACTCAAAGCACATTCCTCTGAAACACTTTCTCACTTAATTTTTGAACTGTGTATATTTTGTGGGAAATTCAATCCACATGTTTGCAATTCATTTACACCAAAATCCTCCAAATACTGTTTCTTAAGAGGTATTTGATGTCAAAAGAAGGCTTTTGAATTTTTCAGTGAGATTTTTCAAGTTTTATATTTTATTAAAAACAGGCAACACCATTGTCCCAAGCTTAGGGAAATGTGAAGTTATGTTCAAGATTTTTTTTTTTCTGTTTTGTCACTTTGAGGGTCATTTCATACTCAGTTATTTAAATAAAGATTAATTTAGCTCTTGTGAGTGCTTTCTGTTTTGTGTGTGGCTGCTGCTTTAGGCAATGACACGCTTAATCACCTTACAAATAATACCACGATTTGTTTGTTCTCTGGTAAGCTAACTATAGTGACAGCACAAACAAGTGGATTATTCCAAAGGAATTTTCAAGAATACTGAACTCTACTAGCTTAGTGGTAGATTCTTAGAAAATATAGAATTCTAACAGAATAGTCAAGAGATTTGGGGTAGAGGTGAAGGAAGACATGTGGATTCTAAGATGTGGGTACTCTGCTTCAAAACTAAAACTTCCCCCCAAAATCACGGATGAGCCCTAAGGAAATTGCTCGGAGGAGTAATGAGTCCCAACTAATCATGTGAAATCATTTCCGATAGCCTTATTCCCTCTATATAGTTCCTTTGATGGAAAACCTTAAGACCCAAAATAAAATAAAGACCACCACATCAGAAGCAAATTTCACCCTTTGGGAAGTGGCTGCGTCACCTGATTTGCAACAGGAACAAAGCAGCTGATAACTTCTCAACTCTGAGACAAAGAATTTATAGACAAGGAACTCTTTGATGGGCGTGGTTCTAATGCGGAATACCTAAATTTGTATTTTTAGACATTGACATTTCTCCTGGAAGGATTCCTCTCCACTGCATGGAATGGAGACATTGTAACGAAATCTAATGTTTGCCACATGTACCGTAGCCCCCTCATCCGCCAGAGGTGTGTTTCCAAGATGCCCCATAGGTGTTCCAAACAGCAGACAGTACTGAAACTTAGACTGTTTTTGCCTATACAAGTTACCTTTGATAGCGTTTCATTTATAAATTAGCCACAGGAAGGGATTAGCAACAATAACTAATAATAATAGAATGATTATAACAATATACTGCAGTAGAAGTTACAAAATATCTCTCAAAATATCTTATTGGAGGGTACTCACCCTTCTTCTCAGGATGCAGTGAGATGATAAAATGTCTCCCTGATGAGCCCCGGGAGGTGAATGACGTAGGCATCGCTACGCAGCGTCGGGCTACGGTTGACCTGACGCTGCGTCAGAAGGAGGAGCGTCTGCTTCCGGCCCAAACTAGGGAAACTGCAGAAAGCCAAATGGAAACCTCCGGTAAAAGGGAGCTGTTGCATTACAGTTCGCACCAATTATCTATTTAAGTCTCATCATTACCGCCGTAAGAAACATATTTATTGTTATCGCTGTTGCTACTGTTATAATTATTATTAATATTATCCCCATTTTAGAGATGAACAAACTGAGATTCAGGATTGCCTAAGATTATTATAGCTACGAGTGCCCAAAGTAAGATAAAGCTCCAAGGAGAGTCAGGCAAACCCAGGCCGCGTGGAGATTGGAGGCAGAAGCAGGATGTTTCTGAAGTTTGTGAAAAATGAAAAAAAAATGCATTAATAACAGCTCTTGGTCAACCAACCTGAACCATCTTATCAAAACCTTGACTGTGCCTCTTCAGCTGGTGCCCAAATTCAGGCTGACCTATGGAGAGCCTCTGTGGGCAGGCACTCTCTCCCATGCCCCCCCCCCTTCTTGCTGTAGCTCTCTTTCTCCTTTCTCTCAATCCCCCACCCATCTCTCTCTTTATCATTCTGTCTTTCAAGTTTCAAATAGGCAGCTCTTAGGGGTAAATGGGTAGTTCTTCCCTGGCTTACAGGTTAGGCTTCTGTGCCCAACTGGATGCCAAAACCTCAGATGTCAAAGTGTCCCTGTAGTGGGACCAAATATGGCACACTCATTCTTATAGTCAGCGTGGAATAAATATGGGCAAAATCTAGAATTAAATTAAATTACGGGTTCTAGTTCTGTTTTATATGAACTATATACTATGGGGAAATGTCCCAATCTCTCTACGATTCAGTTTTATCATCTAAAAAAAGGGTAATACTACCTCCCAACATTTGTGAGGATTAAATGAATTCATGGATGCAAAAGTATCTGAGCCAAGTCAGTGCTCATGTAAGAGAGTTGGGTCATGGAGTCAGCCTTCTATCATGATCAAATTGGCCTCACAGAGATTGGCTTTTTGATAATTTTCTAAGGATTTGTTCATTCCAGGGTGGTCCTAAGTAGCCCTACCTCAGCCGGAAGTAGGAAAAACTTCTCATACTCTGCTAAACTCCATCTTGTCTTGTCCCATTGTTCACCATCACTGGTCCCCAACACACAGACACACATACACACCCCCACACAGACTCCACAGTGTGAGAATGCCTACCTTAACGTATTAGGATAGCACAGTAAAGTGGGAATTCCTACTTAGTAGGGTTGATGCAAAATGTAAAGGTCATAGATGTAAAATGCCTCTCCCAGTGCTTAGCACAAAGTGGAACTCAAGTCTCAGCTATAAGCATTGGTGTTTCTTGTTATTCAGGAAGATGGAGAGACTTTTGCTTCTAGCCCTGACCAGGACCTAAATTTTATCTAAAATTCTGAGGTTCTGGGCTATTTTTGACTGCCATTTAATTGTCTTCACCAACAAAGAAGAAGGAAATAAACATGGTAAAGTCCTACATTTCAGCATCGTAGGCCTTCTCCCCACCCACCCCCCTCAGTACCTAGCCCAGGGCATTGCCCAGAGGAGGAACTCAGGACTGCTGAAAGAACAAAAAAGAAATGAATGAATGATACATGTTCAGATGTCTCTAAGAACTGCTCTGGGACAGCTTCTAGTCAACAATAATAACTTCCTGCTCTGTGCCAGTACTCGCATCGCCCTGGGCATTGGTGGGGCCTACTTACCAAGTGTTAGCAGGTTCTGTTGCAAAGTCTTCAGTCCTTTCAAGGGTAGATATATTCCCAGCCCAGCTACTTTATTCACCCATGAGCTTCCAACTCTCACCAGTCCTAAACCTACAACGCTTTCCTTTTCTTTCATTCATATCCTCCAGGAGAAATCTTACCCTTGGAGGTTCAGCACAAATACCACTTCTTCCATGAAGCCTTCTTTGATCTCCCCATCTGGAAATGATCTCACTCTCCTTTGAACACCACTGCCCTTTGTACTTCTCCGTTGGCACTTCTCCGATTCCAGCTTATATTAGAATTGTAATCCTGCCTCAGCTCCCCTGCTAGTCTGTGAACTCTTTGAGGGCTCAAAACAGATTTTATACCTTTGGTTTCCCCAAGAATAACTAGCACTTCCGAGATCGTTGGTGCCCAATACACACTTGTGTAAAGGAATCCAAGCTAGGTGCCGTAGTACCGGACTTGACAAAAGTTGGCACACCAGTAGAAAGCTTGGCTTGACACAAGATTCTTAAAAGGATAAAGCCGTATAAGAAAAGGAGGCATAGTATACCACCTGATTTCTTGCCAGAAAAATCGTTAGTAGCCTGAACATTGCTAAGGCAGGATATTGGCTAAGGAGCTCTGATAGGAAAAAATAAGTTTTATTAAACCTCCAATAAAATAACATACATTTATTAAAAAAATAATTCCTGCTGACTTTTTAAACGGTTGTATTAGCGTTTGGGGGGATGGCATTTTAGAGACTCAAAATGGTCAATTTTATCCTTGACAGAATTCATCCATCACCTCAACCTTGTTTTTTTCTAAAAACGTTCAGAGTCAGCTGGTTTGACCATTTCCCCTCCCCCCGCCACACACACACACTTTGACCTAAGCTCCCATGATTGCTACCTGGTGGGTTTGTAGTCAAAAGCTAACTGACAGTTGTGGCAGTAAAAACGCTCTTTATAAACAGAAACCAAGACCATGTAAATACAGTCCTGGCATCAGGTTGTACACTTAAGTACTAAACTTAAGTACCCCTGGGCTGCTGGACCATTAGCAATGTAACGGGTCTGCCCATATTACTATGAAACCACTCATTTTGTCCCAATTTTTTTCCTGCGGTGTGGTGGGGTGCTTACATTTTTTTAACGAGCGACATAGCTATCTATATGCATGACATCATCTGTGCCAACATTCTGGGATTGAACTGAAACATAATTGATATATAACAGTATATGACTTTCAGGTGTATGACAAAACAATTTGATCTATGTATATATTGTGAAATGATCATGAAAATAAGTCTAGTTACTATCCATCACCACACAGCTACATGTTTTTTCTTGTGATGAGAAGTTTTAAGACCTACTCCTAGCAACTTTCAAATATACAATACAGTCTTAGGAACTTATTCCCAGTTTTTAATTTGACCTGTGTGTGCCCATCAAATAGGTCACTGTGAACAGAGTACATGGTAGGATCAGCATAAGCTCTAGGCAAGGCTGCAAAATTCAACAAAATTCCTGGACTTCTGGCTCCCTCTGCTTCACACGGTGGCTCTTCCACTCACATCTTGAAGTCCCCCTTCCTTCCGCCCTCCCAAGTCCCATGCCCTGCCCTAGCTCTTTAGGTTGTACTGGTCCTGTAAACTGCCCATCAGCTTTCTCCCCTGGCAGCCTCATTCAAAACTTTTCTGTTCAGCATCACCATGTTTCAAGACCTGCTCTTGGCTAGATTTTAATGGGTGGTAATGGATTAATTCAGACTGACGCATGTGTCACCAAGTAGGTAGTCCAGCGCTGTACCCAATAAAATGTACATGATATCCAAACATGGGTGCATTCAGACCACCAGTAACATTTTGGTTCCATGAATGTATGATTCCCAGAAAACCCTTAGGAATGGATGTTAATGGCAGAAATATCAGCCATAGAGCAGGTAGTCTTTTCAGTCTCATTGAATTTTGGAGTCTTTGACTCTTGTTGAAAGGGCTGTTTCTACGGTAAGGCAAATAATCCTCTCTGCTGAGACACACACCTTTAAAAATGATGCAATCCTAGGTATAGGCCTGCTGTGGACAGAACATTGGTGACCCTTCTCCCTGTAATTCCTATGTTGAAGCCTAATCCCCAGTGTAATGGTATTTTGAGGGGGACTTTTGGGAAAGAATTAGGTCATGAGGGTGGAGCTTTCATGAATGCTACTGGCATCCTAATAAGAAGAGACACAAGGGAGATGATTTCTCTCTCTCATTCTCTCTCTCTCTCTTTCTCCCTGTCATGTGAAAATATAGCAAGAAGGTGGCCATCTGCAAACCAGGAAGAGGGTCCTCATCAGAACCAAATGGGCTGGTACTTTGATCTTGAATTTCTAAGCTTCCAGAACTGTGAGAAATAAATATCTATGGTTTAAGCTCCCCAGTCTATGGTGTTTTATTTATAGCTGCCCGAAAAGGACCAAGTCAATATCCAAAAGAAATGCATACATAAAGGTACCAAAAGATAGGCACAGGCATGTTCATAACTGCCTGTCCATGATTCCCCCAAATATGGCAACAAATCAAATGCCTATTACAATAAAATGCATAAATAAATTGCATCATATTTGAATATTATAGTCCAATGAGGTTGAAAGAAGTACAAGCACACTTAACAGCATGTGTGAGCCACACAAATACGATATCGAGCAAAAGAAGCCATAATCACAGTGGACATCCTGTATTATTTCATTCTTATGAAGGCTAGACACAGGTCAAACTGATCTATGGCATTCAAAGTCGAGAGTCTCATAGGTGCTATATGAGTTCTGTTCCTCAATCTGGGTGCTGGCTATATGCATATGTTTGGTCTTTGAAAATCACTGAGCTGACACAACTGTTGCACTTTTCTGAAGGTATGTTACAGTTCATTAATAAATTCAATAAAGTACAATACTGACAAAACTACTGTATAAAGTCAGTTGTAATGAGGCAAACAGGAATAGAGCAAAACAAAAAACAGGAATAAGGTGGTTAACTTCTTGGAATATTTGGTGTGAAAGAAAAAAGAAAGCCTGGCAAGAAATTATCCTTATGATTCTAACATTTGTTGGCTCAGCAAATATTTCTTGAGCGACCATGATGTGAAAGGCACCGTTCTAAGTGTCTGGCATAAAGCTATGAAGAAAGCACACACACCTGCCCTTGTAGGCCTCACAATCTAGTGGGAGGCATACCCTATCAGCATGAAGTGTGGTAGCCTTTCAAAGGAAACACAAGAAGAATCCCCAAACCTAAACCTTTAGTAAACAGAATATCCCGTGGTTTGCTTTATATGATCAATAGCGATTTCAAGACACCAGAAGAGATGAATTTTTGGTACCCTGTCCAGTCTTCCTGGAAGGTTTCAGCTGATTTGACTCTAAGTGGTGGTGTTCTGAACGAAACACAACAAGAATTTGTGAGTAGCACAACTCTGTATGTGTTGAGTCTAACTTAAAGGGTATGTTGTGCTCTCTTAAGATGACTGAGAAGCAGGCTTTGCCCTCCTCCCACTGGACGCCTCTCACTCTGGCACCTGTCATCCATTAGGAGACCTCCTACTGGGATCTTTCATCATTGAAAATATATGATGATTTTCATTACCGCCTAGGCTAATTGGTAGTGAGTATTCCTTTAAAATATATTCCCCTAAATACTAGGCTTTGGGTCTGCTTTGAAGTTTCTAACACCAACACAGTTGGACTAAAATCATAGATACTAATCACAGAAACTGAAAAGTCTGGTGCAGGAAGAATCACCATTGAGGTTTTTTCCTTACAAATAGCCAGTTGGGCTGTAGACACACGTGCGAAAGGAAACCTCAGAGCCATGAGATGAACCATCCCATAGCTGTCTTTGGTTGCAGGCTTGCCAAGCTCACTGTATTTATGTGCCCGCATGTGAAGTTACCACCCCAAAGGAAGTGCTTGATGGGCACCTGGCTGCCTCAGTGGGCGGAGCCTGCGACTCAATCTCAGGATCCTGGGTTTCAGCCCTACGTTGGGTATGGAGATTACTTCAAAATAAAAGCTTTAAAAAATAAAAATAAAAATAAATAAAAGGAAGTGTCTGATGTGCCCAGTTTGCTTTCCAAACCAATGGATTTAAAAAATAAAAAATGGGGGCACAGAGGTGGCTCAGTCATTAAGTGTCTGCCTTCGGCTCAGGTCATGATCCCAGAGTCCTTCCCTAGAGCATCGCATCAGGCTCCCTGCTTGGCAGGTAGCCTGCTTCTCCCTCTCCAGCTTCCCCTGCTTGTGTTCCCTCTCTCGCTGTCTCTCTCTGTCAAATAAATTAATAAAATATTTTTTTAAAAATGAAAAACACCTCATGGTGTAAGATTTCGGCACTTGAAATAATATGCGGAATTTAATACAATAAATACTTGCTTTCTAGAAAGGAAGTGGGAATACAGGTTTCCCCCACTATCCAAAAGTAAAGCACGCCTGCAAAACCTTTCATAAGCGGAAATGACGTAAAGCAAAGACGCAGTTACCATTAATTGACATGGAAGATTTTTTGATCATTCTCAAATCCAAATAATAACTTCTCTTAGGCTTTTCTGACCCCCGAGGACACATCTTACTAACGGATGCACAAAATAAATGGAGATAAAACAGGCTCTCAGACACAGGTCAAAGTTCTTGGAACCTTATTGCAGAGATGCTGAGTGTAGTTCCGAGGGAAGGAGCTGGGCGGCGCCACTCCCGCTGCTCAGGGTGCCTGCTGCCTCCCCCAAGGCTCCCTGCAAAACCAACTCTGAATGCTCTTTTCCCTTTTCACCTTGTCTTAAAAGCAAAAATCCTCTTTGGATTTCTTTCAGTTAGCAAAAACCGGTACCAAAGTAGGTCTTGCATAAAAGCAAAGTGGTGTAGGGTGAACTTGGGAAAAGTGGGGAATCCCTGATAGTCCTTTGCTTTATTTAATTAGTTGTTAACATCTGACTTAATAAAATGTTCAGGCTAGAAAGGAAAGCTATCATAAAACACTTGCAAACTTTTCACTTTCAGATGGAGAAACCAAGGCCCTAAAAGGATCAATGATTGGCCCAATGTCACAGTCGGTGGCAGGGCCCAGTGTTGAACACAGGTTTCCTGCCTGCCCTTCCAGCACATCTTCCACTCTATTAGTATTTACTAGTATTGTAAATAACGTCATGCATTCTTCCCTTGCTAAGCACATGGATTCGTGTGTGTGAAGAAAACACACAGAAAGGCAAGCATTTTGGCAATGTGCCACTATACTTTTAATAAACATAAAGATTTTAAACTAGATTTTTAATTTTTTATTTTTTAAAGGATTTATTTGAGAGAGGGAGTGGAGAGGAGGGAGGGAGGGAGAGAATCTTCAAGCAGACTCCCCACCGAGACTCCCACGACCCTGAGATCATGACCTGAGCCAAAACCAAGAGTCAGAAGCTTAATCGACTGAGCCACCCAGGTGCCCCTAAGCTAGATTTTTAAACTGAGCTATTGTGTAAGATTTTAGGACAAAACTTGCAGTTTATTTCCTTTCAGTTGTAGGCTACTATGATCCCAAGTAGCTGTTTGCTTTATAATTCATTTTTTAAAAATTATCTATTTATTTATTTATTTATTTGACAGACAGAGATCACAAGTAGGCAGAGAGGCAGGCGGAGAGAGAGGAGGAAGCAGGCTTTCCGAGGAGCAGAGAGTCTGATGCGGGGCTCGATCCCAGGACCCGGGGATCATGACCTGAGCCGAAGGCAGAGGCTTTAACCCACTGAGCCACCCAGGTGCCCCTTTATAATTCATTTTTTAACATTAGTCTGTTCTAAATAGTATATGGGATGTCCTCAATCATAGAAATATCTAACATTATTTGTATGCCCAGTTGTTTATGAAATCAGGAATATGCAATATGACCCACTTAGGTAGGAAAATAACAGACTAGAACTTTTATTAATATATTTCTACTTTTATCTAAAATATGTGTAGTTCTCTACTATGACCTAGAAGGTCTATGAGGGTAAATTATGTCATTTTGTTCACCACTGGATCCTCAGTACCTAGCATATAACAGGTGTTCAATATATATGTTAACGAATGAAAAAAATTATAAATTTTAGACTCAAGTAGCTATGTGATGTGCATTGGTATAATTTCTACTATCACTGTAGAGCTAATTCTCCACTCAAAGGTCGTGTGTTTGAATTTCACATAAGCTCTATTTATCTGGAACTGAAAACAAGAAAGTAAGTGATCACCTACTCCAACTCCTGCATTTCACAGAGGGGAAAATAGCCAGGCCCATAAGGAGGGAAGTAACTTCCCAAGGATCACACAGCTAGTTAGCAAAAGAGCCTGGGTTAGAACCTGACATAGATCACTGCTTAGTTATCTTCGATAAATTTAATTTTTACGTTGCCTTGCACATCACTAGGTCCATGGACCTCAAACTTGTTCTCGCTTGATTAGCAGCGTCAGCACTGAGACCTTGTTAGAAATATAAATTCTTGGGCCCACCCTGGACCTACTGAACCAGAACCTTTGGGGGTGGGGGCCCAGCACCTGTGTTTTAACCGCCCCTCCGGTTAACTGTAACGTATTCAGGCTTGAGAGACACGGGTCCACATAATCCTAATGTCTCTCCTGATACTCCATGATATGCTACAATTTCAGGCAAAAAAGGATTTTCTCACTTGATCAGTGGTTTGTTTACATAAAAATAAAGACATCCTGTATATTTCTGCTCATCGGTGAGATTGAGGAAAGCTGCGTTCCTGTTAGTATTGGTTAAAGTCACCTTATTAGATTGTCTCGGTTCAGTGGCATTTCTATATGTACCACATACGCAATACAGTGTAGTGGTCAGTTTCATGGGTCTTACAACCAACCTGACCCGGTATTGAACTCGCCTCTACCACTAACTAGTCCTGCAGCCTTGGGTGCATTCCTTAAGCCTTTCTGAGCCTCACTTTCTCATGGCTACGAAGAAGATAATTATATACCCATTCCTCGGTATTGTTATGAGGCTCAAATAAGAAAAATGCATGCAAAGAGCTTAATATAGCGCCTTGTACATAGTAATTGCTTAGTAATTGCTTAGTAATGGCAGCTAGTATTATTATTATGCTTATTAGCATAATCATCATTACCATCATCATCATCATTTGTTCTCAAGTAGGATGGATTATTCATTTGGACACAGATTTGGCATAAATTTAAAACTGGTAGGTAATTTTTTTAGTATTCCAAAGCTTGCGGTGTCCATTAACGATGTCTGCTTTCTCCAAGCGCTGTTGCAACGTTCTCAAGCCTTTTGAAAGTGAGCTTGCAGCACAGCCCAGGGAAAGGTTTCCTAGAGCTCCCCAGATCGGATTCACACTCTACACCTTTGAGATGACGCTGCCTAGGCTGGGCTTTCCTTCCCAAATATAAAACCACATCAGGACACAAAATTATCTCCGAAAGATATCCTCACACATAGATGGCTTTCAGTAAGTCTCCTCCCACCTTCACTGGCCCTGTGGCAGAGAGGGAATGGGAGTTGGTGGCCGTAAAAACTTGGCTGCCCCTGCCCGCCTAGGCTGTATGTTTCACCAAGTTCTCAGGATCCAGTCGAGACGACATGCATCTTGCTTCATCTTCAACTTCAGAAACTGGGACAGAATACAGTAATGAATAATCCACCGCAGACCAAAAGATCTCCTCTGATGAGGGTACAGGAACGCCCCTTTTCCAGATGTCTCTCTAAGAATCCCGGCCAAGCAGTGTGCGCCCTCCCTTTCCGGTCAGGGAGCCATGAAAGTAGCCACACCTGGAGTGAGTTTGGGTGGCGGTGTCCCATGCAAATTCTGCTTTCAAGTCCTTTTAAGAATTTCAATGCTGACAACTTTTATTAACAATTCTCTGTGTTTCTGTCATTGAGGGAGAAGGAGGAAACAGTGTCCCTGGTGTATTTCTCGTCAGAGTCATGAGTATATTACAGCGTCTCAATTTTTGAAGTAAGCTACATTTCAGGAGATGAAACAAAGGTAACTCTTAACATCTGCCAATATGTTTTCAGTTCCTATATCAAAGAAAGTGAAATAGCCACAAATCCTAAAGAAAGAAATCAAGCTTTAGAATTTATTCAATTAGAAGATGTGAAATGCTGAACCAAGTCTACTTTGGCAAGCCAAGTGTTGTCGACAGACACAAATGCTTTCAGGAGCGGGGCGTCTTATCTGCGAGAGCCTTTTTGGTTGGGTTTCAAAAGCCTTAGGGGCTTGGCTGAGCTCCCCAGATGCTCTAGCAAATGTTTGTGAATTGAAGAAAACTTGTTTAGCTTTAGGGAAAAGAACCCCAAGGAAGCATTTGCAAACCCATTCCCCATGTTTCCCAAAGCAACCTTTGGTCCCAAGTTCATTTTCGTGAAGAGTTACCAGAAAATATCTGTTGTTTCTTTTTTAATATTCTTATCCTTTTGCAAGTCTACAAAAATAAAGCCTATTTAAAATTCCGCACTCGTGTAGATGTGGCCTTAGGGAAGACCCATTAGACACAGAAATGATTAATGCTCCCCTCGGAATCTTATTTGCTTCTTCAACTGATTGCTCATATAGAATCTTACTTACCAAGTACTTAAGGATTTAAGTGCCTTATCATTCTTGGAAATCACTACTCAGTAGCCTGCACTGGATGGGGGAAGAAGCCCACTCCCTCCTACTCTGTCCCACAATACTGTCTCCCAGAGCCCAGTCCTTGTGATACAGGTGCCTGGAGGGCACCTAAATATTGGGCATTCTCTAATTTGTACAACGAGATTCTTTCGAATGGATATTCATTCCTGCAATCATGAGGGAGGGAGAGTGGAAAGAATTGTTAACGGATTATCATTTCTAAATGTCTACTAGACATCTCCCCTTGGCTATCCTCTGGCACAGTGAATTTACGATGCTCCAGCCCCAAATCCTTATCTGTACTCCCACCACCTGCAGAAAGGGCTTGGCTCCTGATTTCCCTCTTCCTATTCACACCCCACTGAAAACCTCCAAGCCATCCCTGCCAGTTTTCTAACCCTTGGAAGATGCATGCCACCATGTGCTATTTCTTGATAATAATTACTAAATTCAGCCTCTTCATTCCACTCTAATTTCTTCCCCCTTTTCTAGTCTCACGAACATCCCCTTGTTCGGGTTTTCAATGCCACCCTCCCCCATTGATCAGATTCTCTGCCATTCCCCATCCTCGAATTTCCCCTGCCTATAATCAGCCCTCCACATCCACCATGAGAGAGAGCTTTCTAAAAACACAGGCTTGATCGTGTCAGTAAAAGCCTTCAATAATAAGAGCGAAGAGGCAAGAGGATAAAAGCTGCGTGGGGTTATCAGAACTCACACTTTAGTGCTCAGAAGGAACAATTATCCTGATTTTAAGTATACCCAAGTCATTTCCCTAAAAATTACAATTATTATAGTGAAACTCTTTTCTCCACTGGTTGTAGGCAAGACCATTATACACTTACATTATGGCCATAATCACATCATGTCAAGAATTTATTGTATGTCTGTGCATTTCCGGAAGTTTTGTTTGGTTTATCTAAACATATGCAGTGACAAACTCTGTTATGTGTGCCACAGACATTTACTGAGCATTTACTAGGTGCCAGCCACTGTGCTCTGCCACGAATACTATATGGTTCCTGCCTTCGTGGAGCTCTCTCTGATTGCCTGAAAGAAAAAGGAAGCCTTGAATAACTCTCCAGCACCCACAAGGTATAGTTCAAACTCCTGGTTTTAAAACAGAATGAAACAATTATCAAAATCTTACTCTGAGCAAGGGCATTCTGTAGGCCTCTTCCAGGAAGCCTTCACTCACACATCTCTTTTCAAATACAGATGTGGTTTTAAGGAGGCATCTGTCCAAACTCCATCTAGGCAGACCTTTGTTACAGACTCTCCTACTAGTACAAGTTTCCGGGCAGACCGCTAGGTATTGAAGCTGATCAGAGACTCAAAAAAAGAAAATGCCTAGCAAGTGCCCAGCCCGGTCCGGCTCAAGTTCACTGGTGGAAGTCCGCCTCTCCTGGGGCTCCCCAGAGGTCACCTTCATGCTCACTAAAGTCCAAGGGAAACCACAGCCAGCAGCAACTTTCACTTGCGAGAAGGTTCCTTGTAGCTTTCCGTGTGAACACAAGGCCAGGCATGACACTGTGGTCTATGAAATCATTCTGAAATGCCATAATTGCTCTCTACCAGCGAGCATGAAGAGTCACATTAGTATTTAAAAATCATCCAAATAGGCGGGCGCTGTGATTACACTAAATCAACCTAATTTCTAAATCGCTTGAGTAAACCCTTGTTGGATGTTACCATATAAACTTGAAAGATTTCAGGAAAAGAGAGCAAACAAGTTGGGTGCCCTCCTGAATGGCACTGCCTGGGCCTGCTGCCCCCCGCTGCCTTCTTCCGAGGTCTAACGGACCTCCCTCGATGAGGTCGATGACCTTCCTCTGCGAGGTCAGAGTTTTGAAAAGAGCTCTTGTATCATTCATTCGTTCAGCAAACATTTACTGAGCACTTGTGACGCAGCTGCCACTTCCCTTGGTGCTGGGCATAGGGTGGAGAGTGACAAAGTTCCAGCTTTCACGGGGCTCACTTTGTAGCGGACTGAGACAAAACGGGGACACATGAGTCCCTCTGTGATCTAGAGCGCTATGGAGCGAAAGAAAGCAGGACGTGATGGGAAGAGGGTCTGTGGCAGGACTAGGACGGCAGTTACCTGAAAACAGCCTGGCGTCATCTCTACGGAGCTGGCATTTGGACAGCGAGTGGAAGAAGGTTGTAACTGTGGGGTTGTCCGGAGAAACTAGCAAGGACAAAGGCTTTGGGGCAGAAAAATGCTTGAGGTGTTCAAAGACCAACCCATAGCAGGTAAAGGAGGGGAATGGAGAGGCAACGAAAGGCCAGGTAAGTCATGGCCAGTACATATCAGGGAGGTCAGGGTAACTACTCCAGGTTTTATTCCTTGGGCGTTAGGGAGCTATGGGAGGCTTTGGAGCATTGACAGCACCCGACTCTCATTTTTTTGTTGTTGTAATAGAATTTGTTATTTTTAATTGCAGCCAAATACACAGTGTAAAATTTGCCATCTCGGGCATTTTTAGATGTACAGTTCTGTGGCATGAATTCTATTCACACTGCTGTGCGACTGCAACAACCGTCCAGCTCCAGAACTTTTTTATCTTCCCAAACTGAAATTTGGTCCCCATTAAGCAACAACCCCCCATCCCTCCCCTCCCTCAGCCCCTGGGACCCACCATTGTACTTTCTGTCTCTAGGGATTTTCTGCTCTAGGCTCCTCCTGTAACTGGAATAATGCCTTTGTCTTTGTCTTTTGGCGACTGGCTTCTGTCATTGAACATAATGTCCTCAAGTTCCGTCCATGGTGTAGCATGTACTAGAACCCCCTTTTTAAGGTTAAATAATATCCCATGGTGTGGAGGAACCGCATTTTGTTTACTATTCACCCATCAGTGGACACTTGGGTTGTTTCTACCCCTTGGCTATTGTGAATGATGCTTTTCATTTTTAAAATTTTTAAATTGTTTAAAATGATTTTATGTATTTATTTGAGAGAGAGAGAGAGAGAGAAAGAGAGAGAGACAGCATGAGCAGGAGGGGCAGAGGGACGAGGAAAGAGAGAATCTCAAGCCAACTTCACACTGAGCTCGATCCCGGGACCCTGAGATCACGACCTGAGCTGAAACCTAGAGTCAGATGCTTAACCGACTGCACTACCCAGACACCCCATCACAGATATTTTCATTTTTTAAAGACTCGCCCTAGATACTGTGTTGAGATTAGACAGCAGATGTCCAGACTAGAAGCTGGAGACGAGCTAAGAGGCCAGATGAGCCATGATGGAAGCGGTGAAGGCGAGAGGGCATCAAACCCCAATCAGATCTCAAAGATAAATCAGGCAATTTGGGCTCAAGCAGTGGCCACTTTTCTGTGCATTACTTTCCCTAAGGCTAGTGTCTGTTTTAGTGGGATTCAGTTCTCTCAACTTGCTATGGAAAGTCAGCAAATGCCACTTCCAGAGAAATCTGGTTATTCACCTACAGTGAGACTGATGAAGGTTCCAAGGAACCTAGAAGCCTAGGGGATTTCTCCATGAGCCAGAAAACCTGAAGAGAACACCGAACATGCTGTATTTTACCCAAGCAATGTCTCTAAGGCTACTGACGTGAGCAGGACCACTTTCTCGCACTCTAAATGGTGTCTGAGTTCTGTATTTCTGATAGGGGTGTGCCTTCTTCTTGGGGGTTTTGTGTCCCCTTCCACGTTACTCTGTTTGCCAACACTCTTCCTCCTCTTCCAATGTCCAGCACTGTTTCCTTCAGGCAGTAAGCACTCGATAAATGTCCATAGAATGACAAGAGCCAGATACGTTCATCTCTTGGGCGGAAGAAAAGAAAATGGTCATAGAATGAGGGACTGTTCTGTGTACAACGTCGTGGCGGTTGTTTTGGCCCCTCGGGAGCCTCTGGTCTCCTTCCTGCAAGTTTCTTCACATATGTTTGGAGCAGCCAAGCTCGCCACATGACTGCGCACCCCACAACTGACATATTAGGGCCACTGGTAACCGCTAAGAAAGCCCTGATCGGGCCACGCACGCTGATCCCAGGACAGAGCCTCCGCAAAATGAGAAATCTCTTCCTGTCTCATCTGTTCTGGTCAGAGCCATACTGTAAAAAGATGTGCAATATTTTTTAAAGCATCAACTGTTTGGCATCTGTTTTAGGGAAGTTCACAGGCACATTTTCGATGACAAAAGGAATGTGTTATTTTCTTTATTTTCTTGCCAAAGAAAAACGCATTCCGAAATAGAGACGATTTGGATGGGATCACAGTTAAACTAGAAGTCCATGGGAAAATTACAGAACCCAAGAGCAAGAAGGACCCCGGAGAGATGAGAGAAACAGGGAGACAGAGAGAGGTAGAGTGAGGCTAGGTGCCCCCCTCGTGATTACAGTTTACGCTGCACTTTTCTTAGGGAAAGATATTTTCCAGAGTTGACTCAAACCAACGAACGATACCACAGGTTCATGTTTAACACTTGCCATGTGCCCTGTACTGCGCTCAGTACTCTAAGGGTAACTCATTTATCACTGATTAGCCCTGTGAAGGAGGTACAGTTATGGACCCACTTTACAGAGGAGAAAACTGAGGTCTGGGAAATGACAGAGCCCGTATTGAAACCCAGGTTTTGGTGAGGCTGAAATCACTAGCTAGAGTCCCTAATCCCCGAACCGTACTCCATATTAAAAAAAAAAAAAAAAAAACAAGAGAATCCGAAAGCCTGGGTCTTTGCTACCCCGAAGACTAGAGCTGAATGGGACCAATCTGGTGACGCTCCATCTCTCCTGGAGGTCTCCAAACCAGCTGGTTCCTGTGAGAATGCGGAGCCTCGCAGAAGCCAATCGAGGACTCAGGATAGACACTGTGACTAGCTAAGCCCTAGAAGAGCTAAGACCGAGTGAAAAACTGAAAGAAGAAGAACAAGAAATCCCGAGGCTCAGAGAAATAAGCCACAGGCTCATGGCCACTAACTGCCGCACTGAGACAGGGAGCCACAGAGGACTGGAGAAGTGGTCTGGCTCACCAGGCCGCGTTCAGAAGGCCATAGTCCCCCATGTCTAGGTCATCTAGAGTGGGCGACGGGCCCTCATGTTGGGTCTCAGCTCAAGCACTGTTTTCACCCCAAATAGACAGCCTTATCGTCTATCTCTTCTCTCCACCAGAATGTGAACTTCTTCAACCCGGTCGCCATAGCTTTTTGGTTCAAGGATGTATCCCCAGTGTTTGCCACAGGGCCTGGCACACAGAAGGTGCTCGATAAAGATTTACCGAATTCAGCCATGCAAGAATGAATGACAGAGTCCAGTCGGCCATCCTGAGCTACAACTCAGACATCCCCGAGCTCTCTGGTCTGAAAGCACAAAAATAAGAGCCTGAGCTCCCCATGGTTCCAACCACAAAAATAAGAGCCTGAGCTCCCCATGGTTCCAACCCCCCACTTTCTGAGCAAATTGGCAGGATGGTATTTCCTCACCCCTTTTATTTATTTTTATTTTTTTTTAAGATTTTATTTATTTATGGGACAGAGAGAGAGACAGCGAGAGAGGGAACACAAGCAGGGGGAGCGGGAGAGGGAGAAGCAGGCTTCCCGCTGAGCAGGGAGCCCGATGTGGGGCTCCATCCCAGGACCCTGGGATCATGACCTGAGCTGAAAGCAGATGCTTAACGACTGAGCCACCCAGGTGCCCCCCCCACCCCTGTTAAAGTGAGGCGTAGCCCTGTAACTTGCTTTAGCCAGTGAAGTGTGTCCAGAAGCTTTGAGAACCGTTCCCTGTCTCTGCACTCACAGAATCAATGCATTGAAGGCAGTGCCTCCCTCAGGCTGGGACCCCAAGCAAGGACCAGACAGAGGAGAGCCAGCCAGCCCACAAGGGACACAGGGCATAGGGCATGGGCAAGAAATCAAACTATTGTTTTAAGCCCCTGAATTTTGGGGGTTGTTATTTCAGTTCAATTCAGCCTCGCCTGACCAAGATCTCCCCAGCTTGCAGAAAAGCTCATCCTTATATTAGCTTCCCTTTGCCAAGAATTCCTGGCAGTTGTTGAGAAACGCCTACAATTTATAATCCATTCTGCTTGTCATTTGTCACATCCAGGTGCTCTTATGAATGGGATTAGTGTTCTATAAAAGAGATTCCAAAGGTCCCAAGGGCCCCTGCTGGCTGGCTCTCCCCTTAGCACCATCGGGGTAGCTATCCTATCTCCCACGCAGGAAAGGATCTTTAACCTCGTCCATGCTGTCCGCAGGCCACCCTTGACCTTCTCCTCCAAGGCCCTTAGAGACAAGGAAAGCGGAACTCGCCAGTGTCAGTATCGCTGCAGAAGTGGCACTCTGCCCCACCCCCACCACCAGGCAGCGCCTACGGGAGAGTTTAGCTCTTCATCTTCACAATCTCTTCATTCTAGAGCAGAATCCGAGCTAGAGCTTTGCAAATCAAAAGCCCACTGACGTGATTTTCCCAAAAGAAGAGAGCGATATTTCCCCAGCAATGAATTCTCAAAGCAAACGTCAGAAGCTGTTGGCAGCTTTATAAATAGCACCACGTCCCTGCTCTGGCTAGTCTGGTGGCTTCCTTTGTTTTATTTTTTGATGGATCCGTTCCACCAGTCTTGTCCGGTGGCCTCGGCTTGAATGCAGGATCCCTGGGAAGGTTCACCGTATCTGCCGCTACTCTGTAAAGAGAGGTCGATTCACAGAGGGGTCAAAAGTTTGGACTCTGGAGCCAGACCTCCCTTCACAGAGTAAGCGCTAAGTGTTTCCTATTACAGTAATGCCTCTGGGATGACCTGCTGACATGTCTGGTTCCCTTTCTAGAGAGCTGAGGCTGGATGGATTGCAAGGGCTCATTATCTTTAATGACCAGAGGCAGAACTAGTTCAAGGGCTGGGTGCCAACCTAAATTGTGGAGGGAAGCTAAGACTGGTACCAAAGGTACAGACCCAAGAAGCAAGGCCACGGGCAGGGAGCCAGGCAAGAGATCAAGACCCAAGAGCCGGAAAATAGAATCCAAGCCAAGTCCGGGACTTCGACCCTTGACCAGACCAGGGACCTGGTGCTCATCGTACAGGTGTGGCCTGGAGAGGGGAGGACCAGGATGACCACCCTCGGGTGAGTTATCTTCCCTCTCAGCCTCATAAAGCCCCACGAACAGAGGGAAATAGTATTCCCATATGCCAACATTTTCCAAAGCATGCTCTAGATAAAAACGTTAAGATCTTGAGGACGTTAACAGGCACCCCGTGAAACCAGTTTGGGAATTGTAGCGTTCAACGAAAGCTGAACCGTGTTCCCTTACTGCGGCGGGGCCTCTCCAAGGATGTGAATTCGCACTGGGCATCTGCAGGCACGAACGCCAGCGCGCAGTGGCCCCCTGCGCGCGCCATCTAAAGTGTCACTTCTCCCTGCCATGGTTCATTATAGCTACAAAGCATTTTGGGTGCATCATGATGAAAGGCGCCCTTCAAGTTCAGTGCAGCTTGACTTTGTAGGTGAATAGACATAAATCACACCCTCAGGCTGTGAATCGTCAAAACAGGGCCAGGAGAGGCTGCAAAGACCAGCTCCCGGCCAAGTGGCTGATAAAGTGGGAAGTGACAGAAGTCAACCATGTTATCTCGGGGTTTGTGAGAACCAAGGAAGAGGAGGCTGGGCAGGGGTGAGGCAGATGAGAGAGAGTCCTTCTCTGGGAGGGGAGCAAGGAGGGCTTCCTGGAGGATGGGCCGTTTCTGGAGCATTTGTCCTGTGCCAAGCATGGCGCTATATGGTAGATATTCAATTTTTCTTTTTTTTTAATTTAATTTTATTTTTTTCAGTGTTCCAAGATTCCTTGTTTATGCACCACACCCAGTGCTCCATGGAATACGTGCCCTCCTTGATACCCGCCACCAGGCTCACCTAACCCCCAGCCCCCTCCCCGATATTCAACTTTTCATTAAACTCTCCCAAAGACCTCACAAATAGATCTCCTTGGCAGATTAAGAAATCGAGGCTGGGGGTGGGGGGAGGTTGTGCGGATTGCCCAAGGTCATCCAGTATATTCAGCTGCAGAGCTAGGATTGGAGCTGAGGTCAAACCCACTCCAAAATGGCCTTTGCACGCCCCACTAGACCACCTGACCTCAGTAGACCTGGGCTCAGGGGTACACGCTCTAGTACTAAGGGGGCAAATGCCAACAGGTAGCTCACATGGAGGTTTGCCAGAGGTCTATTCATGGTGGGGCATGAAAGCAAGAAGGTGTCCTCATCAAGTCAGCTTGGAGGGTGCACTGGAGGGCTGGTCAGGGAGGTCTTCCTAAAAGCAGCAGCCCCTTGAGCTGAGTCCTGATGAAAATCGCCAAAGGGGCAGGGAGTAGGTGGTAGGTGCTTGGGGCAGGGGGGGTGTGGAGCGCATTCCTGACACGGGAAGCAGTGTCCATATGAGAACTGTCATAAACACGTTTCAAATGAAAAAAACAAAACGTCTCTGCAAGCAAAAAGTCGATATTCCAGTTGCTGATAGTTCCGTTTCAGAAGTTCAGAGACCCGACCCCCAAAGGAAAACACAACAGAACCAAAGGGAAAAACCAAAGGCATCGCTAATCTGCCATCTGCCCTGATGATGTAGGAAAATACACGCAAGCTAAGCAAAACAAAACCAACCAACCAACCGAACCAAACAAAAAACCGCCTCCAACAAACAGAAAGTCTTCTTTTGAGACGGGAGGAAAGCTCTGTCTCCCCAAGCCACGGTCGCGTTTTCCGTGTTTATGCTGCGGTGTGGCTGGGGCCTCAGAGTCCCGTCGGGGGGGCCCCGTCCCCTTTTTATGCGACGGGGGGCTCGGTCGTCTCCAGCATTTCCCAGAGGCAGACGGGAACCAGCTTCACATGCGGGGGGCTTGGTTTCAGCCCCGCGCGCGGCGCCCGCCCTCCCGAGCCCCAACATCTGATCGCAGCCTCCTCCCAGGCAAGGAAACAGTCAATAAGGAAATGCCATAGTTCGGCTCTTTGCAACTCGCTCGAAGTGTGAGGCGGTGCTTCATTTCCTGATCGCTCAGGTGGAAATTGTAAAAACAATTAAGAGCAATGACTAATCACCGAATCAAAGCAGGTTGCCCAACTCATTTGCAATTGTGTGCTCAGTTCTGTGTGCCAACAAACAAAGACTCGGGGAGTTTATTATTTAAACCAATTAAAAGCTCGAGGCAAAGCGAGTAGTCAATTTGCGGCCACGTGGTGGGAAAACATCAGTTGGAAGAGCCTGAGGAATTTCGCGAGCGGAGCCATATGGCCAAAATCGGAATGAAGCGCCCACGATCGTGGGGAAAGTCGACACTGAAAAGCAATTTCACAAGGAAAAGCTTCACCTAGCAAGAGCAGACTGGTGCTCCCTGCTCGCCTCTCTCCCGCAACCCGGCCTCCCCCTCCCTCCCCCCGCCCCGCTCCGCTCCCCGCCACCTGCCCCCCTGCTCCCCCCACCCCCCCGCCGGCCCCCTCCCCCACACCCCCACCTCCCCCATCTTCAAGCCGGCCTGCGAAGCGAGTACTTCCAACCCACAGTAAAAGGAAAACGAACTGACTAAAATTCAAGGTCTGACTGTTCAGCAAGAGACATTGCTAAATTTCCTGTCCACCATTTGCACTTTTATGTATTTTAGGGCTACCTAGAGAGTTCTTAAAGGCCCACATGATGAAAATCGGCCGCCCTTCTTCCCAAATGAGGTGCACAGTCCATCTGGAGAGGGCACTCACACTTTCGTATGAAGCTGTGGGCCGTAAAACGGAAAGTAAAGAATTAAAAACTGAAGCCATTTGGTAGCAGTTATAAAAAAAAAAAAAAAGGCGGAGGGAGGTAGAAGGGGGTGCGGTGCGGGCAGTCACTTGAGCAAATTAGATTTACAGAATGGATGTAATGGAGTAAACCTTTACTGAAAGTTCCTTTTCACATCCCCATGAGATATTTTCCACTAACGGTTTTGTTTTCTGGCCTACAAGTCCCTCTGCACCTAACCACTTCCCCCACGTCCCCCTCCCCCTGCATTTTCCTGGAAAATCTAATAATTCTGGTGCTCCTAATGGATCTCACTTCTTAAGGTCCTGGTCCCTTTCTCCTTCAAGGTCACTCCAAAACAAGCATTCGCAGACACTCCTGATTATAGAAGGAGGAAGATCAACTGTACCAGAACCAACTGGAAGATTCTGACAGGAAGCGGCAGCTGTCCTCCAGTGGCTTGTATATTAGAATGAATGCACTAAAATGAAATCATTCTTGTACATCAATAAACAATGTGGTTCATGGTATGTGGACAAGTCAATT